CTTTACCACTGCCACACGTCTCCGAAAATACATCGACTCATTGCAGAGACATACACAAGCAATTTGTCTGCCACAATCATTTTTCAAGTAGCAAATAACATAGATGCATCTCAGTAAGTTACTTGTGCGATAGGGTTCCTTGCTGACCGCCGTTCGAGGAGGCCAGATACCAACAAGCACAAATATATCTAAGCGCACAGTGTGTAACCAGTAGTTGTCGTTGTTGTTGTTGTGGCTTATGATGGACTTTGGCAAATTGCCAATTTCAATAATGTAACCAACTGACGTGTCATACCATTCCCAACCAACACAACCAAATGGTCTGGCTATATATGTATGTATGTGTCGGAATGATACAAATACATACATACACTTATTGGCATACACTATATATATATGAACCTACTCTAGATGAGAAACAATGAGTCAGTCACTGGGCACAATGAATGTCGTCTATTGGTCATGGGATATTGGCATTGAAATTGAGATGATGAAGGCAAACACAAGCCATGCACCTTATCGACTCAGGTGGCCTGCGCTTCGGGAAGTGCTGGTGCATATTTCCATTTAATTTAATTCTTTATTTATTCCGTATTGAATTTATTTTTACCTTCAACAACTTTTATCAGCATTCATTCTTGTTCAATATAATGGGGCATTCTTGCAAGTAAAATCCTAATTAATACATCGGATTTATTTTCTTTGGTTAATCAGCATAACAAAAGAGATTTATCACATTTTAGGTTAATGATTTTTTACAGGTTAATTAATGGGATTTCGTATGTTACCACTTTGGAAACAAGTCACAGAGCTGGACAATATTTCAAAAATTTTCAAAAAAGACCAATAAGGAAAGGTCAAAAGTCGGGCGGGGCCGACTATGTGATATCCTACACCACTATGCGTATTTAGTAGTGCTCCCGTAACAAAAAAAGTTTATGTTGGGAATTTATGTGAATATTGTGACTTCGATAAGAATTATATTAAATAATATTTATTGGAGCAGTAGATATACCGGAACGAGTTTCACCAAATGGAAAAATTCGGTTGTATATAAAACAAGTAAAAATGCTGTAAGTTCGGCCGGGCCGAACTTTTAATACCCTCCACCATTTGGTACAAATTTGACAACATCCAAAAAAAAAAATCCGTTAAAAATTCTGTTAAAATCTTAAAAATACCGAATGCCTATACGACGACGTTGACCTGCACAGACAATTTTCTGGCATGGGCTGAAGTATCCATTACGAACTTCACATGCGAAATTTGAAACAATCCCGGTAAATAATGTCGCTAAAATCATCAAAATACCGAATATCGGGGGGGTACGGTATATGTGGGCTATACGAAGACGTTGACCTACATGGCCCATTTTCTGTTTTATGCCGCAGCATCTATTACGAACTTCAAATGCCAACTTTGAAACGATTCCGGTAAATAATGTCGCTAAAATCATCAAAATACCTAATATCGAGGGGTACCGTTATATAGGGGCTATACGAAGACGTGGACCTACACAGATTATTTTCTGTCTTAGGCTGTAGTATCCATTACGAACTTCAAATGCCAAATTTGAAACAATTTCGGTGAATAATGTCGCTAAAATCATCAGAATACCGAATATCGGGAGGTACCGTTATATGGGGGCTATATGATAACTTAGACCTACATGGCCCATTTACGAACTTTACCTGCCTACTGGCAAAATATACATGTGTGCAAAATTTTAGCCTTCTATCTCAATTTGTTCGTGACTACAACAGACAGACAGACGGACAGACAGACACACAGACAGACAGAATAGAATTTTACGCTTTGTTGGGTCCGACATGAGTATTTCGAGGAGTTACAAACGGAATGACAAAATTAATATACCCTCCATAGTATGGTGGAGGGTATAAAAATCTATCAAATTTAAGCAGATATTACATATATGGTGGACAAAAACCGTAAAATCTGATGAAGATGTATATCGAAGATATACAAAAATCTGAACTAATCTCGATAAAATTTGGCAGAGCTATTTTCGAGCTGCACCTTATGTCCAGTATTAAATATCCTTGTTGTGGAGTGCAAATTACGCATATGAGGGACTTAAACTCCAAATCGGATGAAACATATACATGGGAGCTACAGCTATATTTGAACCGATTTCCAAATGTTATTTTTTTGCTTCTAGACTGAATTCGGTTGGATGTGCCAAAATTTTTGGCACTGATAATGGCAATTTGGTGCACAATTAATCCGAAATCCGTTGGGATTCTAATTTTGAACCGATTCTCACCAATTTCAATAGGGTTCATTCTTGGGCCAAACAAATATTGTTTAGAAAATTGAATTTCAATCGGATAATAAATGTGACCTGCATTTTTTCACAAAAATACATAGACAGAGTGACGGACGGACGGACTATGGGTCTATCTTGCTTCCTTCTCCAGATTGGTCTGGAAATTTTAAATGTTACAAACAAATGCACAAAGATATAATACCCTTACCGCTATGTGGTGTAGGGTATAAAAAGGGAAACTGTAGTAAATGTTAATAAATTTGGAAAAAAATTGGGTTTGGTTGAACGGATTGGTCTGGAAATTTTAAATGTTGGTATTGGGGTCTCTCTTGGTGGATAGGGTTAAGATAAAGAGTTCAGTTTGGAAGTGGTGTTAAATTTGGTATTGCGTGAACGGATATTGCCTGAAATCTGCGATTTGAATCACTCTTAATGTTGAGATTTGGAGGTGATTTTGAAAATACCTTCAAAAAAGTACTAAATAGTATTACTTTTGGTATTTGCATCACATATTGCATGGTTTGGTTGATACATGACGTGGGATTTGGAAATAAGCACTAAATAGTACGAAAAGTACTAGTATTATTTTAGTATTTGGGCAAGGAATAGAGCTGGAAATCTGATATTTGGTTTTAATGTTGTCTAGGATAGACAAACTAAAAGCTTTTTCGAAATTCAAACAATACATGTACCAAATTAAAAAAGTGCACTAAATATGTTACCATTTGTTAGAAAGTCGTTCAGCAAGCGTATGAAAGGTACTAAATGGTACTGATATTGCTTGAAATCTGAAATCTGGCATTGAGGTCATTGTTAGTGCATAGGATTGAGAATTGAAGATGGTTTTTAAGATGGTGAACTACAAATGTACGAAAAGTACTAAATAGTACTATATTTGGTACAATTTGGTATTGGGTGAATAGATAATACTTAAAATTTGGTACTAGAGTCGCTCTATTGTATACTGTAATTGTACGAAAAGTACCAAATGGTACCAAATTTGGTACTAGGTGAAGGTATAGATGTAAAATTATGAAATTTGGTATTTAAATTACTGAGGTGAGGAAGCGCGTAATATATTTGTACGAAAACCACTAAATGGTACTAAATTTTAGTATTGAACGAAGGGATAGGACTGGAATACATAAATTTGATATTGAATTCTCTGGAATTAAGATATGGAGATAGTTTTGCAAATGCGTACAATAATTGTTCGAAATGTACTAAATGGTACAAATTTTGGATCACTGTTGCTATCTAGAATGGAGAGATATACTAAATTTGGTATTGGGTGAAGGGATATAGCCGAATTTCCGAAATTTTATTTATCTTTTGGAAATGCGTGCTATAAACGTACGAAAAGTGGAAAATGCCACAAACTTCTAAAGGAAAGATTTTGAAGAATTTTTGGTGTAAGATGTAAACATTTTCCTATTATTTATTCAGAAAAGGAAAAACTTGAATAATATATAAAATATTGTCTGAAAATTTAGACAATATATGAAGTTTTGTTAAAATATGAAGTTTTGTACTAAAAAGACCTAACACGAATTGTTGAAGCGAATCTAAAATTTTAAGGTGGACTTACGGGCACTTGCTAGTTTAAATAGATTTTAATTTATTTATTATTATGATTACTCAAACTGTTCACCCTTTATGGGAAGGTTTAGGAGGAGTGGGCTAATATTGTCCATTTCGTATCTGTCCTAAGACTTATATAAATGGTACAACGTGCCAGATTTGGACTATATCGACTATTTTCTGCACTTTATATGAGATATGTGACAATTTTTAGAAAATTTTGAAACATGGGTGAGGTATCAGATCTAGTGGACCGTAGCATTCCATTTAATATAATACTAATAAAAATTTTGGGAAATGCCAAAATTTCATTTCACTTCTATGCGAATAATTTTTGATAACAATTTTAGGTTTTGTGGAGGAGATACTAGAAGTAATGGACCGATAATCCCATCTTCACACCATACCTTGTTGTAATGAAAGTATTGGGATATGTTTGAAGATAATAGAATAATTATGTCACATTTTATTATAATTATTCACAATGTTGACCCTCGATGAAGTGGGCCGATATTGTTCATTTTCGTATCCGACCTAGTACCTAGTACACATATATTTCTTGTTCAATAAGGTAAATTATTTCCCGTAAAGATTTTAAACTTTTCTGTATCATATCGAGTACAATTCTTTAAAAATGTTTGAAAAATTCAATTTAGTGATGTGAGGAATAAAAACCTTGTAACTCACTCAATAACATCTGAAAATTCCGTTCGGTAGCCCCCAGCATGTCAATTCCTTATCTTTCTTACACTGTATTTTGAACCTAGATTCAGGTCTTAAGGTTTATGAAGTTCAGTTTGCATAAGAATCCATGCCGGCCGATCATCAACAATGCCTTTACGGATTTAAGTCCTTGAAAGACATAAAAATTATCTGGTATAGTCTAGAAAAATCATCTTCCTGGATGAGGCTCATTTTTACCCTTTGGCTAGGTCAAGAATAAAAATCAATATGCTAAGTCGAAACAAGAATTTTTAGACTAAACTCTTTCAAATATATTTTCTCAGTGTGGTATAGGTCATTTAGAGAAAATAGTTAAAACGTCAAAACGTTGGGTGGCATATGTTGCATGAACACTAAACTTATTCAAGTGATATTTTAAAAATTGGAAATATGGACGATTATTACATACCTGTGGAATCTTTTGATCGTTTACACAAAATTATAAAGTCTTTGGCTGGATAAGTTGCAAATGATGTCCATCGTGTTGACAATAATGCATTTCCGACAAAAATCTGAAATTTAAACGAAAAAACATTAAAATTTAGATTGACAATAATTTTTGAAAGAATAAAAAATATAAATTTTTTCGATTGCTCGCCATGTCCAGACTCCACATCTAATGGGTAATGCTCTGAAAAACGAGAAGTGCCCGCCTTTAAATATCTCTTTCTTCAAAAAAAATATCCTCAAAATATCCTCAAAAAAAGTTTTCAAAAATGTTTCCATTCGGAAATTTGAACATTTTTATTTTGACTTTTGAAATGTACAATTGTAATGTTTTATATTGTATGGTTTTTTTTTTCGTTATGACTTACTACTTTCAAATAATGAACATTTTTTTTTTTTTTTGAATTCTAATATAATGCGTAGTCTTTTTGGGTAAGTGGAACTATATGAATAATATTATTTCAGAAGATGATAAGCTATGAACAAAAAATGTCAATATTTTACCATGTTCGAACCGTGTTTTCAATTTGATAACCTTAATTTAATTGACACGATTTCTTGAGAACTGAAATTGCAGGCAGGTTACATTGAAGTGAATAATGTGGTGGCAAAATTGAGTAGATGATGTCGAAATAACTTATCACGGTCACACCAAAGTTAAACGATAATTACTTTTTGAAAATCGATAAAAAAATCACGAAAAAAAAGAGAGAAAAATTCTAAAATCGTGGAAAAAATATAGAAACTTTTCCAATGAAATCGTATTTCAAAACAAGTCAAAAAGTAGCTGAGTTAATACCTTCAATCAACTGGAAAGAACTTGACATTTTTCAAAAAAAAAAAAAACTTCAAAAATATGAAAAACGTTACATAGGGACTATACGAAAACGTGGACCTGCATACGAAATTTTCTGTCATATATTGTAGTATCTATTAAGATCTTCCAATACGAAGTTTGAAACAATTCCGGTGAATAATGTTGCTAAAATCATCTCAAAATACCGACTATCGGGAGGTACAGGTAGATGGGGGCTATACGAAGACGTGTACCTGCATACGAAATTTTCTGTCATATATTGTAGTATCTATTAAGATCTTCCAATACGAAGTTTGAAACAATTCCGGTGAATAATGTTGCTAAAATCATCTCAAAATACCGACTATCGGGAGGTACAGGTAGATGGGGGCTATACGAAACGTTAACCGACATGGCTCATCTTCGAACTTGACGCAATGACAAACTTAATATACCCTCCATATTATGTATGGTGTAGGGTGAAAACATTACACACGCTGTAATACAGGGTGAGATAAAAAAAAAGTACCACAAAGTCAAACGCCATAATTTTTACTTTTTTTTAAATTTTATTGAATGATAGCAAAAAATGTCGAAAATAGCATCATCAATTATTCATTCAGAAAAAGCGATATTTTGGCCCATTTCCGGCGAAGCTCTTGCTTGAGGTGATTTTGTTTGTTTACAAACTGCTGGACAACGAATGTTTTCTCATCGGAGAAAACCAAATTCGGCAGTTCACCACTTTCGGCCAAGCGAAGCAACTCTTTAGCTCTTTTGAGTCTATTTTCTTTCACTGCCCCTTTTTATACCCTCCACCATACATAGTATGGAGGGTATATTAAGTTCGTCATTCCGTTTGCAACTCATCGAAATAATCATTTTAGACCCAACGAAGTATATATATTCTTGATCAGCGTAAAATTCTAAGAAATTTAGCCCTATCCGACCGTCTGTCAGTCCGTCCGTCTGTTGTAATCACGCTACAGTCTAAACGAATTAAGATAGGAAGCTAAAATTTTGCACAGATCTCTCTTTTGTCTGCAGGCAGTTCGAAGATGGGCTATATCGGTCCACGATATCGTATAGCCGCCATATAACGGTACCCTCCGATATTCGGTATTTTGAAGATGTTAGCCACATTTTTCAATGGAATTGTCTGAAAGTTCACACAAGTAGTTCCTTGTGAATACTTTACCCCCTGAGAGAGAATTGTCTATATAGGTCCACGATATCGTTTATCCCACATAAAAGGGTACCCCCGATATTCATTATTTTGATAACTTTACCCACATTGTTCAACGGAATTGTCTGAAAATCCACACAAGGAGTTCCTTGTGGGTACTTTATACCTCGGCAGAGAATTATCTATATAGGTCTACGATAGTCCCCATATAACGGTAACCCCCGGTATTCGGTATTTTGACGATTTTAGCCACATTTTTCAATGGAAGTGTCTGAAATTCCACGAAAGGAGTCCCTTGTGAGTATTCTACCCTCTGAAAAAGATTTGTCTATATAGGTCCACATTTTTTAACGGAATTGTCTTAAAATCCATACAAGGAGTTCCTTATGGGTACTTTATACCTCGGAAGAGAATTATTTATATCGGTCCACGATATCGTATATCCCCCATATAACGGTACCCCTCGATATTCGGTATTTTGATGATTTTACCCACATTTTATAACGGAATTGTCTGAAAATCAACACAATGAGTCCCATGTGGGTACTTTATACCTCAGCAGAGAATTATCTATATAGGTTCACGATATCGTATAGCCCCCATATAACGGTACCCCCGATATTCGGTATTTTGATTATTTTAGCCACTTTTTCCAATGGAATTATCTGAAAATCCACACAAGGAGTTCCTTGTGAGTACTTTATACCCAGACATAGATTTGTCTTAATAGGTCCACAATATCATATATACCCCCATATATCGGCACCTTCCTATATTAGATATTGTAAAGATTTAAAAAAAAAATTAATGGATTTAATTTTTTTGAAAATTTTCTAATTCGTTCCAAATAGTGGAGGGTATTCAAAGTTCGGCCCGGCCGAACTTACTGCTTTTTTACTTGTTAGAATTTCACTGGCTCTACCCCGAGCTCATTTTTCAATATTTGCCGAATGGAATATTGCGATGTCTTCAGCTAACGAGCCATTTTTCGGCCACTGCGGCGCCGGTTTCATTCAAGTCGCTTCTTTACTTTTCACATTTATATGCTGGAGTGCTCTAATGATAGCCAAGTGTGGTTTTCCAGCCAAATATAATGAAATCACACTATCACGCTTGAATTCCATCACGAATAACTTTTTTTTCTGGAAAATTCTCGGCAAAATGCTTTTGTACGCTTGTAAACAATATAATGAGCTGTCACTGGAATAATTTTAACAGCTGTCGGACGAGTGGCTTAGAAATGTCAGCAGTCTGAAGTTGGTTGCTCTGACAAATCCAGTGGACTGGGTTTTTTTAAAAGCGTACAATTTACCAACAACCAGTTCATCCAAAAAAACAAATTACAATTTTTTAATAATTTTCCGTCTTCTGAAATTTCACCCCCTTGTGCCACGGTGGTAGAGCATATAGAAATTGTAAGCTATGTTCATTCAATTTTTTTTATTTTTAATTATCAGCAAATTTTTATAACACCGTCCCTTTACATGCAAATTGCAATAGATTTTTCCATTCTAATTTTCCACAATTTCAAATAATTTGTCATAGAATTTTATACAATTCATGCGAACAAATTTTTTTCGAAATACATATAAATGGTCTGTATGAAAGACTTTCAATAAAAAATAATCAAATAAAAATACTCGAATCACATAAAATTCGAATACATAACGCACATTCACATTCCGAATTTAACAAATTGTGAAATTATTCACATTATTTTATTGATACATCATGCTGGGCCTATTATCATCTGCCATTAGATTGGCATTGGCATTTGGGGTTATCAATAAGAATCACACTTAAAAACGGTAAACATGGCGGGTGTTGGAAGCAGAAGCAAAGTAAACAAAATTTAATTAAACATTTGGCAGCAAAAAGTAAAAAAACAAAAACAAAATTTTAACGAATCTATGCCGATACCGCAAGGTAAAAATAATTTAATTATATTATTTTCTTTTTCTCCAATTTAAAAATAAATGAGAAAAAAACGACTTGATTAGTAATGTGTGCGGCAAATCTCAAATGTTGCTTCGAAGTGTTGTTTTTTTTTTTCAGGTCTTCTTCGTTTCTCATAGGGGAGAAGACCTGGTGTGAAATTGGACAGATGTTTCACACGAAAATTTCATTTTCATTCTTCAGCTATTTGAGGCGAGGAATAATCCATTTATAATAGGATGTGAAATGTTAATGGAAGACATAAAACTGGTATTATAAATATTTATTATAATTTAATTAATGTGACTATGATTGTAATAAACAAATTGTTGGTATTGATAATTGGAATCACGAAATTTGTTGTGGTGAAAGAAAAAAGAAAAATGTCGAACTGCTGTTGTGGAGAAGCTTTGCTATCGACAGATTATTTTGTTTAAGGATGTTCCTTTAGATATGAAATGGTGTGTAGCACAAAATATGCTAAACAACTTCTTTGGGTTTTTACAAATCATAATATTTATTTTAAGGCGATTTAAAATGTATATTAATTTACTTCGGAAATATTTTCGTATTTTTTTTATTTCAATATCAAATTGTTTGTGTCTCATTCCAACGAAAGCAAAATATGTTTATACCAGGGCTAGGCAAAGAGTATCCCTTGGGATATCTGTGTGTTCACCAACACAATTGTAAAAAATAAATTGTTTTGAATTTTCTGTCAAATTGGTTTTGGGAGAATATTTAGTTTTATTCGAGCAGTCGATGAGGAAGGTGCTGTCGGATATTTTTATGAATACACCGTAAGAAATATTGGATCATATAAATATATCTTACTACATATTTGAAACAAATATTTCCGAAATTATAAAAATTACAACTATTAAGATTTATATACTTGATTGATTTATTTTTGACACAATTAGTATAAAGAGGGAATTCATTTCATATTGACCGACAAATTAATTGTCCTTCTAAAGTAGTAGATATTTTCATATTCCCTGATTTCTATGAAATGTCATGTACAGTCTTAGTCAATTTTAGGAAAAATAGCAAGATGCGATGTTTATCGTTCTGTTATTAATTCACAGAAATAATATTGTAGGAGCCAACACAGGATATGAGTTTTTGAGTAAAATTCTACCACTATT